CGCGGGGGCTCCGCGCTCCCCCCCGCCCGCGCGAGGAGTGGGAGGGGGGCACCGGGGGACGGGGCACCCCCCCGCCCCGAGCTCACCCATGGAAAGCCCGGTCCTGATCCCACCCCAGCTCGGGTGCAGGGGCACGGGCATCGCCCCGAAGCCCCCGTGGACAGTGCCGGGGAACCACGGTTCCTGCACCCCCCTGGCTCCGGACCAGCGGTCCACGTCCCGCCGGCTGTGGGTGTCCCCAAGTCTCAAAGAGCTTGACAAACCATCGGAGAACCAGCACGGGGCTCGGGCTGGGCAGGCTGGGGGTTCCCCGTTCCAGCTGCGTTCGCCCCATCCATGAAATGCCCACTATGGGGCATTTTGGAGCATCCCGGGGCGGGGCGGGGAGGGTGAGGGAAGGCGGCTGCAGCGAGCACCCTTTAGATTGTTTGGCTGGTGGATGTTTGACCACTCGTTGGGTGCAGGATGAGGCCAGCAGCCCTCGGTGTCTCCGCAGCAGCTAAAAGCCCACCGGGGCACTCCTGCACTCGGGAGACCTTAGCAAGAAGCCACACCATCCCATCCTCTGCTCCACGCAGGGAAAGGGGGTGCCGGGATAACAGGTTGGGGTGGCAGATGCTGCCAGGGCACCCGCACGGAGGAAGCTGCACCCCACGGGGACGAGGGGCCCATCCCCTACACTGGGGACAGACGGCAGCTCTGTGCCGCTCCCGCACATGCCCCTGCCCCAGGGCTCAGCACACTGGCCCCCAGTGCCAGCTGACAGCCCTTAATGCATTTTTGATTTCCCAAATATGTGCCCTTCTGATCTCGGTAAGACGGATAAAGAGACTTTAATCAGCTGCTAGGAGGAATTATGGATGGCTAATTGTGCCTGCCACCTCCTTTACATCTCTGCCGCCTGCGGCGCTTATAACCATTTAGAAGGGCCCTTCCAGGCCTTCATTAGCTGCACACCAAAGGCTTTGGAAATAATTGGCCTCTACGACTTAGAAATTGGCCACTGGGCTGTAAAATACCATCCACTGGGAAAGGCTCCTAATTCAGACTGGTGCTTTGATACAGCTTGACTCTGGTTTCAAGGCTGCGGTGGAGCTGTAATCTCTCATTAGTGCTGCGATGAGAGGAGCGAGCCTCCTCATTAGCACCAACCGGAGCAGCGGCACCAAAGCTTTCCAGGCTCCCTCTGACGGGAGCGCCTCAAATCAAAGGGACACAGCCCACCGCCCACGTCGGCGCAGCAGCCCCCACTCTGCTCAGTGGCTCTGGGCTCCCTCGCTTATATTCCCCCCCCCCTCCCCTCACTTCTCCCATTTATCTGGGTGCTGCAGCCCCTGAGCTGCGAGCCGTAACCCAAGGGTCCCCGTGGGTTCGCAGCTTTACCTGCTGCTGTGTCCCCTCGGCCGGTGCCCTCCTCCCTTCTTTTTGGTGGAAAAAGGGCTGCCAATGTGTTTTCCACATTATTGCCTTTGAAGACAAAGGTACAAAGGTGCAAATGGACAGTCCTCCTTTTGGACAAATGAAAACACTGACTACAATTACGCTTTGCTACCTGCAATCCCTGCTCAGGTCTGGCCATTCAGATTTTACCTCTTTACTGGCAGCTCTTTCGCAACCAGTATGCCTTGCAGAGCTGTTGCTCCTTGGCCCTACGAGAGACCCTGATGCCATGGGTGAGACAGACAAAACCCCCTCCTGGTCAGCATGGCCACCTCTGGTCGCCAGACCCCTGGGACAGCACAAACAGCCCAGCCTCGTGCCTATCTCCTCAGCCCCAATGAGCTTCCGCTAAGGGTTCCGAAGTGAAAGCTTGGTCCCTTCTCTGGCACTGCAACAGGACATGGCCTCTTCTAGTTCATCCTCGTCTTTTGGAAGGGAAGAGGCAGGCTGGGCAAAGCCAGCTGCTCTCCAGGTTAGGGAAAATGGGCTTTCCCAAACCTTTTTGCAGGATACTTGTGCACTGTGCAACCCTATCCACGGCCACCTCTTGGAAGGTTTGCCCCAGGCTACATGGAGAAACGTTTTCTCCTGCAGCACCCTTCCCAAGGCCCACCACCATCCATGATCGTAAGCCCCGAACGGGGCAGGTGCAGCCAGACTGCCCAGCGGGGCTGTCCCTGGCACCTTCTCCCTCTCCAGCCATGCCCAGGGCTGCCTGGGAGCCCGTGCTCACCCAGGACTGTTCACGGGTACAAACTGCTTCCCAGCCCAGGCACTGCTTCTGTTCACTGACAGAGGCAGCCACCACCTCCCTGCTCCTCCTGGGAAAAGGTACTCATATTTGGAGTGGCAACCAAAGCAGCTGCCAGGGAAAATGTCGCAGCTTCACTACAAAAGAGAAGCTATTTCAATGATGGCAACATTAACCGACAGCGCATGGTCAGGGGCAACTTGTGTCTGCGTCCTTATTTAAGCCCGTAACAAGTCACAGGCTTTCAAGCAGGACAAACCAAGGGAGACGGGGTTTTTGGCTTTGTGACACACCGCACTATGCGGTTAGGTGCCATCCACACGACAGTTTCTTACACAGCTCATCACTGAGCTGCCCTTCGGGAGCTCCCTCCTCATTAGCTGCTTCTGCAGTTTTGGAAGTGTTCAAAACTCTGCGCTTACTCAGGGCGAGCACCGTTTGTACGACTGCCCCATATATGTGCCAAAGGAAAGTCTGCAGCTTGGGATGCTGCTGGTAAGGATAAAGATAGGGGGGGAAGAACGGGAGACATGAAAATTTTCTCTACTCAACAATGCGCTCACTCTGACTGGCAGCAGAAAGAAGAGCCACCTAGTACATTGCTTTAGCTTCATATAGATAACATATTTATTGAAAATCTGCTTCACCAACAACGGTGAAATCATGACCAAAAATTACAAAACATCATGGCAGTTGGCTTTATAAAAATAAACTGCAGGAGTATGTCTCACCGATTTGTACTGGTCTCTCTCGCCCCCTCCCTCCTTTAATGGTGTACATTATACTCTTCAGCATAATACCATTCTAGAAAATTGCATTCCGTCCAAAAAAATGCACTTGTTTTTCCTTAGCAGAGGTCCTTAAAGTGACTTTTCCCCCCGCCCTCCCCAACAATAAATATAGAAAATAGCCTCTAAACAAATAAATTTTAGTTTGGTCAGCTTAAAAAAAAAGGTCCATTTTCCCCCTCTTGGGATATGTAGTGACTAAGCAGCCATTTAAACAGTATTCAAGTCTTTGGTGGCTTTGGCTGCTTAAAGCTGCAGTTTTATGTACAGACTATCAACTGAGGTCCTTTTTTTTTTTTTCTCTCCAGAAACCAAAGACTATGAGATGATATCAGGTGTGAATTACTAGTAGATCAGTGCCGCATTTGCTGCGCCTTCACTGGGAGCAATCAATCGCCCAGGAAAGCAACCGGTAAAAGGAGGTCATCTTTGGCAAGCGGGAGCTTTCACACAGAAGGTGTCTTTGGTGGATGAACCTGTTGCATAAGCTGTGGTCTTTTCACTCGTGGTTTCCGTCTCTTTGGCCTGCTCTTCGCTTTGTTGATCTGCACCACAAAGAACGCCAGAACCACCATGGCACCAAGAAAAGCAAAGACCGGAATAGTCTGTCCTACGTCCTGGTTGTACCGGCCCGGCATTATACCTAGAAAGGCAAGGAGGTGTGGAAGTGACGAATGACCACATGAGCTACAATGTCTTTGCAGTGTTAACGCTATCTACCGAAACGATCCGACGGTAATTCTTGTTCAGAGATAAAACAGCCATTAATCAGATTACATTTCAGACAGGAAGATTAACAACTGCAGACCGATTAGTGAAAACAAGATGGGATGCTAACGTTACAGAAAAGCAGCAGCATTTCCACCTTGACCTATTTGGGCACATGAAAGTATAACTCAGATCTCCCCTGCAACAAGGCTCTTCTGTTCTGCGTTAGAAGAGAGATGCAAATGCTTGACCATAGTTTTACCACGAAGTAATTTCTATAAATCACACCAAATCCTGATGCCACGAGGAAACTGTGCTTGCTCCAGAGGCCGTGCACGCACCGGGTGAGGCCAAGCTACAGAACCAGACCCTTCCTTTTTACAGGCATCTTTTGGTCTAGCAGCTCAGCCTGGGAAAAAAGCACACGTGAGGCTTTCAAACTACTTCCAGCTGGGCCTGCAGTGCCAAGCTTGTACAGGAGAGCACCCCACCATTAGACTGAATGCTGTTTCAAGTGCTCTACACCATTTGTTAGTGTAACACCTTGCCCAAAGCACCACTCCGACAAACTTCTGGACTTTGCTTCTGCATCTGCACACTCATGCAAGGAATTTTAACTAGCAGGAGGTATCTAGCCGCAGCTCCCAAGGACAGGGACTGCTGCTGACACCTGTCTGC